ATTCGAACCCACCACCTTAGGTGTACGTGGCTGGCGCCTTAGCCGGTTGAGCTATAGGCGCCGAGCCGAAAAACCTATCTTGTTAGGCAGCACCTGTGGCTCAAAGGAATAGGGCACTGGCCCCATATGCTGGAGATGGCAGGTTCAAACCCAGCCTTGGCCAAAAAAAAGAAAAAAAAAAACACCTATCTTGTCAAGAACTATAAAAACAAGCTGCCCTGCTTGTTCCCCCACAGAACACCCTTAGAAGAGAAGCAGAGCCTGTGTGTGACAGCTCACACCTGTCATCCTGGCACTTTGGGAGGCTAAGATGGGAGGATCGCTTGAAGCCAGGAGTTCAAGACCAGCCCTAGCAACATAGTGAAACTCCCATCTCTATAAAAAATTAAAAGAGTACCCAAGCATAGTGATGCACACTTGTAGTCCCAGGCACTTGGGCAGCTGAGACAGCAGGATCGCTTAGGCCCATGTGTTCAAGGTGCTGCAGTAGCTGTGATCAGACCACTGTACTACAGGCTGGGCAACAGAGTGTGACTTAGTGTCTAAAAAATAATAAATAAATAAATAATTGTTAAAAGGGAATAAGAAAGGTAGAAGTGACAATGGGATGCATTCCTGCAAGGTAAGTATCACCAGGATTCTCCCAGGAAGCACAGAATTCATTCCTAAATGTGAGAATCCAGTCTGGCTTCTGCTAAAGAAAGAAGTGGCCACCATGGCTGTTGTGACAGGATAAAATGTGTGTAAGAGACTAGAATCAGCTCCTGGGCTCTTTCACCAGAATCAAGGGTCAACCAAGTTCCCTTTCCAGACCTCACTTCCAGAGCATGGTCATTTAGGGTGAGAGGAACACCCACTACAGATCCCCTCATGGGCACAGTGGATTAGGAATCTCAGATTTAAGGAGAACTGGGGAAGAGCCCAGTGTGGGGGGAAGGTGATGATAGAGCAGAGAGGGAAGGTTTTAGAGAGAATGGGAAGCCTTCAGCTACTTGCAAGACACAAGACTCAATCTGAGGCCGAAGAGTGAACTGTGGCTGGAGGAGGTGGTGCCTACCCCCACCACTCACATGTCACTGAGGATTCCCTGAGAGCCCTATGGGCCTCAGCTTTAGTAACACAGCAGTGCAGATGCCCACCCTTCCTTCTTTGCTTCCTGTCTTTCTGGAGCCTGGGTGGCCAGGAACATTCTCCCCTTTCCCACAACTTCCCTATGAACCAAGTAGACAAATGGCCAAGGGAAAGCACTGGCAGTCACCCAGGGGCAAGACTGGTTGGCTGCTGGCAGCAAAAGGCCCTTGATAGAGGAGCAGTACCTTGCCTAAGGGACTTCCAGCTATGAGGGGGATGGAGGAGGCTTGAGACCTTGTACAGCCACCCCACCATTTTTTTGGGTGGGGTGGGGGCAGGCTTAGAGACTGCAAGTGTTCTACGCTGCTCTAGAGTCCACTTAGACTTAAACTGCTAGAGCCCAGGAGCAGACCTTTAGGGCTATTTCTCTGGGTAGAGGCACAGCAGTGGGCAGAAGCAGGCCTCCTGGGGTCTGGACTTTGGCCCTGGTATAGGCCCTATAGGCCCTAGGAAGATGCTTTTATAACCACCTGAAGGAGGACTGCAAGGACACCTGCTCTCGTTTCAGCTGCCCCATCCACAGAGGGTCCAACTAGCCCCTGGTCCCCTCCTTTCCCAATGCTGGCATCTTAAATCATTTGGGAAATGCCCTGAAGCTGCTAAATTGACACATGTAACTTGACTGCCCTATTTATTTCCTTCCTTCCACAGGGAAATTTCTTGCCAGTGAGGTCATTCACTACATTTCCTTTCCTTTCCTTTTTTTTCTATGACAGGGTCTGGCTTTATTGCCCATGCTAGAGTGCAGTGGTGTCATAGCTTATGGCAACCTCCAACTCCTGGGTTCAAGCAATCCTCCTGCCTTGGCCTCTCAAAGTGCTAGGATTACAGGTATGAGCCACCATGCCCGGCCTACACTTCTTGTCTTCTTTCATTCAGTCTTTAACCTACCTGGCTTTTTTTCCTCTCTAGATGCCAAATATTGCTGAAGCCACAGTGGCTTCCTTGGATAACATAGGTCTTTATTTGATCTTTATTTTGCTGGACTCTGTGGGATCTGGGGTTTTTTTTTTTTGTTTGTTTGTTTTTGAGATAAGAGTCTCACTTTATTGACCTTGGTAGAATGCTATGGAGTCACAGCTCCAGCAACCTCCAGCTCTTGGGCTTAGGTGATTCTCTTGCCTCAGCCTCCTGAGTAGCTGGGACAACAGGGGCCCACCACAACACCTGGCTATTTTTTGTTGCAGTTTGGCCAGGGCTGGGTTTGAACCCACCACCCTCGGTATATGGTGCCAGCGCCCTACTCACTGAGCCACAGGTGCCGCCTGGATCTGGGATATTTTTAACTATCCACTTGATCCTTTAAATGCTCTCCCACCCTTGATCTCTATACCTGCCTCTCTCTCTGGGATCTCATCCCCCTTTCTCCTTTGGGTATCTCCTCACGCCCTTGGATGGCTATCCTTCCCTGGGGTATTCTCTGTGACCTGCTATTCCCATGGCTCTTCATGTACTACCTGGGGGAAGATACTCAGATCTGTGGCTTCAACTTCTACAAATTCATTATTTATTTATTTTATTTACTTTTTGAGATAGAGTCTCACTCTGTTGCCCAGAGTGGAGTGCAGTGGTGCTCTCATAGCTAAGTGTAACTTTGAACTCCTGGGCTCAAGCTATCCTCCCACCTCGGCCTCCCAAAGTGCTGGGATTACAGATGTAAACCACTGGGCCCGGCCCTAATCATTCTTTAATGATATTTAAATTTATACCTATTAACTGGACCTTTTTCTTGAATTTCTCAGCCAGAAATCCAACTACTGTCTAGATCTCACCATCTATATGTCTCACTCTTCAAATCTTCAACAAATCAAATTCCTTTAGACAAGGAGATCAATTGGCACCGGATAATCTGACAACAGACCCTATTTATACACACACATTCAATATGTGACAGAGAGACCAGGCACAGTGGTTCACACCTATAATCCTACCACTCTGAGAGGCTGGGTAGATTGTCTGAGCTCATGAGTTTGAGACCAGCCTGAGCCACAGCAAAACCCCTATTTTTAAAAATAGCTGGGTGCTGTGGTGGGCACCTGTAGTCCCAGCTACTTGGGAGGCTGAAACAAGAGAATTGCTTGAGATCAAGAGTTTAAGGTTGTGGTGAGCTGCGATGCCATAGCACTCTACTGAGGGTGACAAAGTGAGGCTCTGTCTCAAAAATAAAAAACAAAAAATGGGGTGAGCCTGTGGCTTAGTGGGTAGGGCGCCAGCCGCATACACTGAGGGTGGCAGGTTTGAACCCAGACCTGGCTAAACTGCAACAAAAAATAGCTGGGTGTTGTGGCAGGCACCTGTAGTCCCAGCTACTCAGAAGCCTGAGGCAAGAGAATTGCCTAAGCCTAGGAGTTTGAGGTTGCTGTGAGCTGTGACGTTACAACACTCTACTGAGGGCGATAAAGTGAGATGCTGTCTCTAAAAAAAAAAAAAGTGACAGAGGAGGACTCCTACCCAACAGAAAAAGGGAGAAGATTAGCTGTAAATGGTATCTGAAGAAGCTAAAACTAATTGGTTTAGCTTCTTATCTCATAACATGAATCAAAATAAATTTCACCAATAAAAACATGAATACAAAAATTCCAACCATAGGCTTGGCACCCATAGCACAGTGGTTATGGTGCCAGCCACATACACTGAGGGTGGTGGGTTCAAACCCAGCCTGGGCCAGCTAAACAACTACAACAAAAAAATAGCCAGGAATTGTGGCAAGTCCCTGTAGTCCCAGCTACTTGGGAGGCTGAAGCAAGAGAATTGCTTAAGCCCAAGAGTTGAAGTTGCTGTGAGCTGTGACGCCACAGCACTCTACCAAGGATGACAAAGTGAGACTCTGTCTCAAAAAAAAAAAAAATTCAAAACATAAAACAGAAGAAATAATTTTTCTGTGAACATAAAACTGCTCTAAATAATAAGGTCTATTTTTAAAAAATAGAAGAAAAATACAAGTGTGTATTTATCAAATCTGTGAAGGGGCAAGGGAACTTTAAGAAATAAAAAAGGAAGTTCAAAATGAACAACATAGAAATTTAACTTCTGTTTCTCACAAACAAAAGCACATATTACAAATAAAATTAAAGGATAGACATACTAAGAATATACTCCAATAAATATAAAAAAGAAGCCGGGTGTGGTGGCTCATGCCTGTAATCCTAGTACTCTGGGAGGCTGAGGCGGATGGATAGCTTGAACTCACAGATTTCAGACCAGCCTGAGCAAAAAGCAAGACCCTATCGCTATTAAAAATAGAGAAACTGAGGCAAGAGGATCACTTGAGCCCAAGAGTTGGAGGTTGCTGTGAGCTATGATGCCACAGCACTCTACCCAGGGTAACAGCTTGAGAATCTGTCTCAAAAAAAAAAAAAGAAATTAAAAAAAAAGAATAATCTCTTTAATGTATAAAAAGTTCATACAAATGCGTAAGAAAGATATTAAGACCCTAATAGGTAAATGGATAAAGAGCACAAATAAACAAGGGGGAAATATGAAGGGTCAGCTAATGCAAAACAAAACAGTTCAACCTCTCTAATAATCAAAGAAATCAAAATTAAAACAATGAGCTATTCCTTGCCTTTCAAACTGGCACAGATGTCTGCATTCGCTTCCCAGCTGGGCTGCCTCCCTTTGCTCAGTCTCACCCTTTCTGGTCTACTCTACACTGCAGCATTTAAGACACAAATCACAGTGTGTCACTTGATTGCCTTAGCAGGCTCCATCATGGTCAGCAGCAGAAAGCCAAGATCTGCTGCTTGGCACAACTGCTGGTCTGCAGTCTGATTCCATTCTAACCTCATGTCCCACTTCTTCTCTCACGCACTTCTCAGTTTCAGTCATAAGGAACTTGTGCAGTCATTTCCAGAACTATTCCACAACCCTTCTCTTGTTACCAGCTATTACCAGTCCTGGAAGCCCAACTTTCATCTTCATTCCTTCAGGAAGCCTTCCCTGCTGCTGCTGGTCTCCTTTTGATGTCCTTCTTCATGTTACCATTGCACCCTTTCATTCAATGTCAAAGCACTGAGCACACAATATCATGATCACTCATATTGTCTTTCTCCTTCACTGGACAATAAACTCCTCAGGAGGCTATGTCTTATTCATCTATATAGCCCAGCACTGTACTCAGAGCCAAGGGATGGATGGATGGATGGAAGGATGGATGATATACAAGCAGGGCCATGAACAAGTCGATGAGAAATAACTGAGGATGGGTCAGGTGAGGGTGGGCACCTTACCTCACGAAGGGCATTCTGGGCTGCACAGTACCAAGCCCGACTCACAAGGGAGGCTTCTTTCTGATCTGACAGGGGCAGGAAGCTCAGAATATATGTGAGCATCTGAAGGAAAGACAGGGCATTGGGGGCTGTTAGAGGGACTTTGGAACTGACTCCAGCTGATAGCACTGTGCATCTGAGGGCACGAGAGCACTAGTTCATCTTGGATCTAGTGCTTCAGGAAGCATGCCCTTTCACTATCTAGTCTTCAGGTATCTTTACTGTGAATAAACCTTTCCTGAGCTCCCTCTGGGTGCAGGCTTGTACCAAGAATCAAAATTCCGGCCAAGTTTGGTAGAAAGAGTCTAAACCCTGGAGCCAGACAACCTAGTTCAAATCATTACTCTGTCAGGTGACCTCTGTGAGCCTTGTGTTCTGTAAAATGGCATATGTAGTGAGATTTAAACAGATTGTTGTGAGCATTAAGTAACACAGCAAGTCAGGTGTTTTTCCTCTGATCCTCAGGAAGTCACATCTCTTCCTCCTATCCTCACAGGTCAAGCTCTAGAAAACTGATCTTTTCTCATCTTCACCCCTGCCAACTCACCTGGCTGTTAAGATATGATCCCAGGGCTCGGCACCTGTAGCTCAGTGGCTAGAGCACCAGCCACATGCACCGAGGCTGGTAGGTTTGAACCCGGCCTGAGCCTGCTAAAAAATGACAACTACAACTAAAAAAATATATCCAGGCGTTCTGGCAGGTGCCTGTAGTCCCAGCTACATGGGAGGCTGAGGCAAAAGAATTGCTTAAGACCAAGAGTTTGAGGTTGCTGTGAGCTGCGATGTCACGACATTTTACCAAGGGTGACATAGTGAGACTATTGTCTTGGAAAAAATAAAAAAAAGATATGATCCCAGAAGGACCCAGCCTGGCAGGCTCAGGCCTGCCCTCCACCTACCTGGTGTGAGGTTGGGGTGGTAAAGTTGGATACCCTAAGCGGGACAGGGAAAAAAGTTGTCTGTGAGGCTTAGAATGCTTGATGTTAACTAGTCTTTTTTCCCAGAATTTTCCCTCCTGAGTCCTGTTTTCTAGGGCTTCACCCAGTACCCTAAGTGTCCAGCTTCTGGATTCTTCTGTGGGTCCCAGAGCTCAGACCTGGGTCTTTTGATTTTCTGTTTACTAATACAGGAATAACCCACAATTCAATATCCCTATTATTATAATAGTACCTCCAATATTGTCCTATTATCCAAGTTCTAGTCCAGTATTACCAACAGTCCACCGGATCCTTCATCCAAATATTTAACCATCACCTTAATCTCAACCAAAACTCGTATTTTGCCATCAGTCCAAAACGGCCTCTCCCCCTACCTTTCCCCTCCAATGCTAACAGTGCACCCACCTGATAACAATTTTGACTATTCATGCTCTTCTATCCCTTGCTTTCAGATAAAGCACAGACTTTTGCTAGGCTAACCTAGACTGATTCGAACCCCAGACCCAGTACTTCCTGGCTGTGTGACCTCAGGCAAGGTACTTGACCTCTCTGAGTTTCAGTTTCCTTATCTGTAAAATGGGGATGTTTTAAAAAATCTAGGCCATAGTCTTGTGGGCATTAAATTTTACATATATGTACACATATAAATATACACACACATATATATAGTGTGCTTGACAGTTAATAGATATTCCATAAGTGGTTTCTGGATTGCTAGTACTGATATTTCTACGTTTGCAACTTCACCACCTTAGTAGCTCATATTTCTATCACTCCAGACCTGGATTCCTTCCACTTGTCCTCCTTGCCTTAAAGTGTATCCTTGTTAATCCATTCTGCACACTGCCACAAAAGCAGTTTTCAGTTTCAACACAACCCTGCTATAAACCTTGAGAGTTACCAGTACTCTCAGCATGAGATCTTTTTTTTTTTTCTTTGACACAGAGTCTCACTTTGTCACCCCCGGTAGAGTACCATGGTGTCACAGCTCACAGCAACCTCAAATTCTTGGGCTCAAGAGATCCTTTTGCCTTGGCCTCCCAAGTAGCTGGGACTTCAAGCGCCCACCACAATGCCCGGCTATTTTTTAGAGATAGGGTCTCACTCTTGCTCAGCTTGTGGGTCCCAGAGCTCAGACCTTGGTCTTTTGATTTACCCAGAAAACCCTTGTGTGAATAACCCACAATTCAATATCCCTATTATTATAATAGGGTCAGTAGAGGTCTCAAACCTGTGGGCTCAAGTGATCCACCAGCCTCAGCTCTCCTAAAGTGCTGGGACTACAGGTGTGAGCCACCACACCCAGCCCTTCAGCATGAGATCTTTACCCCTGAATCACTACTGCCAGGATTCCATGCCTGATTGGACCCACTGGGGTCTGATTGGTCCCAGAGCTTCTCCAATCTAGTCTCCCTACTGTCCTACAAACACATCTATTCCCTTTTGCCTATGTGAACTTCTTCCCTGGGATGACCTTCTTTATGCTTGACTTCACCAGCCCATTCTGATCTCTCCCCTTCTCAGATGCTGAGCACACAGCATACCTACTAGATTAAATTAAGGATGGCCAGTCCAGTCCTCTGCCTCTATTTTCACCAAAGATTTGCTCAGAAAAGGGGTAGGAAGATAAAGATCATTAGAGCACAATTACTGGACCTTCTGGGCCAGGGAAGATAAGCATGGAGAAGAGAATACTAATAAAGATTAGTATCACAGCTAGATGGGGACTAAATGTGACCAAGCCCTCCTCCCTGGGGGGAGTCAGGGAAGCCTGTCTAAGATAGTAGCCATTTTGTCTTCTGGGGCTGACAGTCAATCCAAGAAGCTAAGGGAGAGGGGAACAAACCTGTCACCACTGGGGCTAAGGTACAAGTTCTTAAGCTGAGAATGGGGTAGCCTTTCCAGAAGGACCAGATGAAGCAGTAATAAGGATGGAGTGGCCATCCCATGAACCCCATCCTAGGGGGTACTGGAGATATGACTAGTCATCTATAGGATCTATGGGGATGGAGCCAAAGGAGAAAGGGGTACTATTGCAAGGGGCTCTATGGGATGGGAGCAGGCATATTTTCGCTATGGAGAGGAAGCATTATTCCAAGACTGATAGAAAAGGGTGGCTTGTCTCCTGTGTGCAGTGAGAGGGGGCTGCCAACTCTCAAAAGGACAGGCCATTCCAAGAGGCCACTGGGGACAATATCTCTTATCTTCTTGGCCAATGAGTGTCTTGCCCCTAGCTAATGAGAAGGAGCAAATATCCCATGGGGTAAAAGAGGTGGAGACGGTCATCGCTAGGGGCCTAGGGAGAGGGAAACAGGCCTGTCCTCACTAAAGAGCCTCAGAGACCTTCTGCGGAGTTAATGAGGAGGGAGCAGTCTGTTTCCCACTGCCAGGGAGAGGGGACAGCCGTCTTCCTCAGGGCGGAGGAAATGAACGACCATGGCAAGGGACCAATGGGGATAAGATCGGTTACCCTTCCGGGACGAGGAGATGGTGCAGACATCTTCCAAAACTGAGGGGGAGGGGACGGCCATCTCAAGGGAAGGGGATGGGCAGAGGGTTTGTCCTTGCTGTCCTCGCTGGGGTGACAAAGAAGCCATCTTCTTGGACCGATGAAGAAGAAGGCAGTCCCTCAAGCTAAGGGGACAGAGTGGCCCAAAGGCGGGGCCGTTACCCAGAGCTTGCAGGTCCCAAGATCCGCCGGGCGGGTGGTTTCCGCCAGGCAGGAGGGGCCGGGCTAGCAGTCTGAGAGCCCCTCCCCAAAGCCGGGGACCCCGAGGGCGGGGCCTGTCCGGAGCTAGGCCTGAGGACAATTTCCTCTCACCTCCAGGGGCAGCGACTCCGCCATCGCATCCCTGACGCCTCCGCCCCTGCGCAAGGCTTTCTGGGAAGTGTAGTCCCGTCCGCCTTGGAGGCGGGGCTGGGGAGAGGAAGTAGATACCACTTCCGTCTCAGATCTGACGACTTTGCTCTGCACCGGAAGTGCATGCATTGCCGATGTGGTACATACCGACTGTGGTTTCGATCGCTCTCCCTTGTTTCCCGGGCTGGGTGTTTGCGTCGCGCCATGGCGGTAAGGAGGATGGGTAAGGGCGGAGTCCGCAGCAGCAAAGCGCTCTGGGCCCTGATGAGTGAAAATAGAAGAAGGACATCAAGAGATGCGAGTGGGCCAGAGGGGGGCGCTATCCAATGGCCAGACTCCCCAGTTCGGGGAGGGGGGTGTTGAAGGAGGGCTGGCCGCACTGGACCATATCAGAATTAGTGCTAGAGGAGTGTAGACGTCAGTAACAGACAGAAGTACTAGAGCAGGCCAGAGATTTGAGGGGTGTAGAGGGGACGGACGTTAGCCCAGATTTGTACTATTCCAGCACAGATCAAAGAGAGGTACCCTCCAACTCCACTCAGGGCACCATAGAGGGGTTGTCAGCCCAAAGCTGGTCTTTTTCAGGGGAGTCAGAAAAGAAATTATCCTAGGATTGCATCGTTTCAGAGCGAATAGAAGGCGATCATAGCTGGGGGTGCTGAAAAAAGGGTGTCAGTTGTAGACAGGATGGACTGAAAGATGCGTGGATAAGGGATTGGTACTAGGTTTGAGCACCACGGAGACCTGCATAAGGTGCAGATAGAACTCTGTAGCTAATCAGTGTGATGAGGAGACTGAGAAGCACTGTGGCAGAGAAGAGCTCTGACAGCTTCTCATCATCCCTCTGCAGCCCAAGGGCAAAGTGGGCACAAGAGGAAAGAAGCAGATATTTGAAGAGAACAGAGAGACCCTGAAGTTCTACCTGCGGATCATACTAGGGGCCAATGTAAGTGCCTTCCTCTTTCTATGCTCATTCATAATCCCATAGTGCTCAGCCGTCTTTGGTGAGGACTGATGGTATGTAACAGAATAAAACTACAATCAAAAAGACATGGGATCGGGTGGCTCAAAGGAGCAGGGCCCCATATACCAGAGGTGGCGGGTTCACACCTGGCTCCAGCCAAAAACTGCAAAAAAAAAAAAA